ATAAAGAAGACAAAAGCCAGAAACCATAAGTAATTTCTTATCCTCTGAAAATAATTTAACTTCAGTTCTGTTTTTTCAGGAACCCAATTCTACATCAGGTGCCGCCATCTACTTGAATGATATGATCATCTACAATAGAGGTTGGCAAAAGATAGCTTGCAAGTCAAATATGGCCTGCTACCTATTTTTCATAAATAAAAAATTTCAACCTTTGGCTTATGAAGATACCAATTGCTGAACCACTGAAAATAAGTAAGGTATTTTAGAGGTTCTTTATTCTGTTGATCTGTGTTCTGCTTCACCTCTCAAATCACTACTCATGCATGCTCAGAGATGGGCCAACTGAAAATACAGTTTGCAAAGCTCCTAGCCCTATTAAATCATGAAAGCCCATATCCATGATAAAATTAACCTCACTATTGGATAATGACCATGAGTATAAAACTTCTTAATCATCTTTGTTTTATGGTGCTCTGCCAAGCACTAGTCCTAGTTCTGTTTATTCCTGCTTTAAAGTAGTTCCCAGTCTAAGACACTTAATACTAAGACAGTTTCATGTTACAGTCTAAATGAACTCAATATTTAAATTGCTAATAATGAAAGAAGAAATCAGAATTTTTTTAGATATCTTGGTATCTATTTGCCCTGAAATTTTTGAGGAAAATTACAAATAGCAAAACTTTAAGAAAGAATTATAATGAAACTTACTTACCAGGAAGTTGTGTCAGAGAGCTTGCTTTAAAAATCATCCTATTTAATTTTGGCAGTAAATAGGGGGCAAATATTGTAGACATTCTTATTAGCTGCAAGTCAAGCTTAATTAAGGAAACAAAATACTGAATTGCAAAGGGAAACAGAATTGATGCCTAATATTTTTTGCTCTGAGTTTAGTATACTAGCTGGCTTAAACTCTGGGTGACATACACAATTAAAACCAAATAAAAGACTTGACAATTTACTTATCTGGACTCTTGCTCCATTTTATGTTGCCAAAATTACCACCTTGCCATCATCTCTGCAAAATAAATCAAGCAGAAGTTTCTGTTGATATAATGAATATTTTATTTTTTTTTCAGGTGAGATCATTTCTGTATCTTCTGTAAGTATAAGGTAAATTAATGAAGCAAATCACTTAGGACATACCATTTTATTAACTAATTAGATGCTCATAAAGAAGAAAATTCAATATCTAAAGTTTATATACTGTTATTTTAGCCATTTGATTTAACTGATCAATCTCCAATCAAGGCAATAGTGTCAAAAACTGAATTGTTTTTCTTATAAATTTTTCATAATAAAAAAATTGAAGCATGCAGAAAAAATGAACAGAAATGAATACACATCACCAAGATTCAGCAATAGGTAATACTCATAATTGCATTTGCTTGCTTTGTCTCTAGTATTTTAAAATCTAGGATAGTATCCTACCTTTTAATTTATTTATGTATTTAATTACATTGACTCTTAAAAAAGACTAATTTTCTCACAGATTATACAACATTTTGAATGTATGTGATTATTTTCTTCTTTCACCTTTTCTTTCTATTTCTAGAGGAAAGTTGACCTCAAGACTAGATTTACAGTAAACATTTTGGAAACACTATTTCATAGGTAATGCTGTGTGCTTGTTTTGCATCATATCAAGAGGCACACAATGTCAGCTTATTCCAGTATTAGTGATGCTAAGTTTGATCATCCAGTTGATTTGATGACCAACAGACCTCTCTCCATTATAAGGTTATACTTTTCTTTAGCAACATTTATATATCTTATATTACAGAAACATATTACCTAATGATTTTAGCTTTTACAAAGGAACTGTGCCTGAATTACTTATTTTATAAGGGGGTCAGAACTGTGATTTTTGTAATACTATTATTCTATGTTTATTAACTGATGCTTTTTTGTGAAAAAAATTATTTTTCCTTCCAAAAATTGCACACCACCTTCCTTTTAATAATGAGCTGTCAGAGTAAGGAATTGGTGTAATAGTAAGTGACTCTATATTCCAATTTATCCAGTACAGTCCTGGCTATGTCTTACATAATACTGCTGTGCTCCTGTTCTGTTCATTCTCAAACATTTAACAGATTAAACAATAAATTCTAAGATTATTCCATGTATTAGTCACCTTGAATTTCTCTCTCCCTCTTAACACTTAGGATTCTCAAAATGAGAGACTTTAATTTATTCAATGTTTCACAAATAATTCACTATACCTTTTGATAGCCAAATCTTTTATATGCAAACAATTACATTACCCCTTTCAATACACAAATCCCGATACTCAAGTCTCAAAACTGGCACTCTAAGTCCCTTAAAAACGCTTTGTGTCCTTTTGACATAACTCCAGTTTTAATTAAATTTTTGCTTTATGGCATAATAAGATGTTACAGCTTCACCTTGTATTTTCTATGCTCCAACTCTAAATTCAACCATTTCCTCAAGGACCTCTGATTTTTTTTTATGGGGAATTGGAAACCAATTGGTATTCATTTTTTCTGAAGTGTTATTACTTTCAGAACATTTCAGTGGATAAATCTAGGATATATGTAAATATAAATATAAGTAAGTATTGTATTATTTCAAACTCAAATTTAACATTACAGTGCTTTTCCTAATTTCTTTGATTTTTTAATTTATATTTTTTTACACTGAAATTCTTGGTTTCTAATTAGCACATTTACTTTATCCTACAATATGCATAAAATGGTTACAAAATAAAAACTTTAATCTGTTTACCAACAATAAAATGGATATAGTGTTAGGATGTGTACTCAGAACACTGGGTGAAAACTAATTTAAACATTTGTCTGGCAAAAAACACCACAAATAAAGCAGAGGTAAATGATAAATGTGGAGAAAAAAATGCTTGTAGTTTTTAATCACAACAAATGGTTATTATCACAAAGCGAAAGAGCTTCTAGGTTAAGAAAATATAAAAACAAAAACATGGTAGAGATACAAGCAGTTAACCAAATAATAAATGCAAATGACTCTTAACATTTTAAACAGACTTAACTTGACTATAATAAGGAAAATGTAAATTAAAACTATTGAGGCATACATTTTGACTTACCTACACTGGCAAAATCCAAAAATTTGACAAAATCTATTGGCAGGGCTGCAGGGATAGATACAATCACATATATTGCTGGTAACAATGCAAAATAGTGTAATTCTTTATTGACAACATTAGGAAATACCTGCCAAAATTCTACATATATTTATAAGTTCACGTAGGTAATCCAGAATTTCCCCATCTTGAGATTTTTAATTTAGCCACCTCTGTAAATCCCTTCTGTCATGCAAGGTTCTGAGGATTCACAGGTTTTGAAGATTGGGATGTGGACATTTTGGGGGATGGATTTCTGTCTACCACTCAGGGTCATAAAACAAGTAAATTAGTTAAGAAATTGAAGTCATACATAATATAGTCTGATTATGATAGAAGCAAAAAAATTAGTGAAGGATAACTAGAAATTCCACAAATACTTAAAAAAAATCAACATATTTCTAAATTGTCTTTAGGTCAAAAAAATCACAAGGAAAATCAGAAAATATTTGGGACTAAATATAAAGAAAACAATTACATTTCAAATTTTGTGGGTTGTGGCTTTAAAGTACTATTTACAGAGCAATTTATATCTTTTAAGACTTTTATTCATTGTGTCCTCCTCCACATTATTAATAATCTAAGCTTCCACTATAAGAAGCGAAAAAAAAGAATAAAACCTAGATAAGTTAAAGTAAATAATTAAGGTGAGAACAAACCTAAGAAAAAGAGAAAACTGACACAACAGATCAACAAAATTCAAAGCTGATTCTTTGAAAATTTCTATAAAACTGATAAACATCTAGTAAATGGATCAGGGAAAAAAAGACAAGTTACCAATATCAAGAATGAAATACATATTATTGATCTGACAATCATTAAAAGAATAAGGGAGCATGATGAATAGCTTTATCCCAGTACATTTGACTACATAAATGAATAAATTCCTTGAAAGGCATAAATTACAACTCAGAGAAACAGACAACAGATATACTTCTATATTTATTAAAGAAGTTAAATTTACTTCTCCTAGAAAAGCTCTCCTAAAAGAAAACCCCAGGCTCAGATGGCTGCAGAGGAAAATTCTATTGAATTTTTAAGGAAGAAATAATACCAAACCTACACAAATTCTTTTAGAAAACAGAAGAGGATACAATACCTTCCAAAGTATGTGTCCAGCATTATCCTGATACCATATCCTAACAAAAGCATTACAAGAAAAAAAAAGAAAAAGCTAGACACCAAAATCCCTCATTAAACTAGATTCAAAAAAATCCTTAACCAAATAATAGAAAATAAAATCAAGTAATATACAAAACAAATAACACATAATGATCAAGTAGTATTATCCCTGGATTGTAAGAGTAACATTCTCAGTCAGTGTTATTGTCCATATAATGGAGAAAAGCATATGATCGTGACAATAGATGTAAAAATATTTTTACAATATGCATCTTCTATTAATTCTGAAAGCTCTCAGCCAAATGTATATACTACAGCAACAGAAGGAAACATTGAGCTGACATCACACTTGCTGGGAAAGATTAGTTTCCTGCTCAATGACTGGGAATAAGGGTAAGAGTGTCTGCTCACATGATATTCTCCATTGTGTTGTAGCCTGTGCAATAAAATAAGAAAGAAAGATTTTATACACACACACACACACACACACACACACACATACATAAAGATATATAGGTATCTGAGAAAGAAACACATAAAACTTTTTATTTTTTTGGATAGCATCATGATGTACATAGTAATTACTAAGGACATTACAAAAAACCCCACTGCCTAACTAGTAAGTGACTATAACACCATCACATGACACAAGAGCAGTATACCAAAATCAATTGTGTTTCTAGATGGTAGCAATGAACAATTAAAGTAGCATCAAAAAACAAAGTGCTTAGAGATATTTTACAAGTATGTACAGTATCTGTACAATGAAAACTATCAAAGATTGCTGAATGAAGTTGAAGAAGATATACATAATTTGGGAGCCATAAAATGTTAATGAATTGGAAGACTGAATATTGCTAAGGTTTTGATTCTTTCTAAATTTATTTACAGATTTAACACTACCCCAATTAAAATCCCAATAGACATTTTAAAAGAAATTGTCAAACTCATTCTACAGTTTATATATAGTGAAATATGAAATGTAGAATTCTGAAAAAAAGAATGCATTTGGAGGACTTACACTCCCTGATTTCAAGCCCTACTACAAATCTACAGTAGTCAAGGTAGTATGATATTGGCATAAATGTAGACATTTACATCAATGGAATAGAATTAAAAGTTTAGAAATAGATTATGTATGATCATATAGTTAATTTTGGAAAATTACAAAAATGAGTCAATGAAGAAAAAATTACCTTTTCAATAAACTGTGCCAAAATAACTGAATATCTGTATGGAAAAATGAGCTTTGGCATTTTCCTCATACCATAAACAAAATTTGATTCAAAATGGATTACAGAACTTAACAAAAAAGTTAAAACTCAAGGTTCTAGAAGAAAAATGACAAAATCTTTGTAACCTTGGGTAAGGCAAAAGTTGCATTGATAGGACACAAAAAATATTAGTCACAAAAGAAAAATATTTTGTAATTGAATTTTACCAAAATTAAAAACTTCTGCTTGTCAGAAAATACCATTAAGAAAATTAAATGGCAAGTCACAGATGAGGAGAAAGTATCTGAAAAAATACTTTTTCTATTAAAAGTATCATTGCATTCTACACACTAACAATAAAATACCAGAAAAAGAAATAAAGGAAATAGTCCCACTAACCATCACATCAAAAAGAATTAAATACCTAGGAATAAACCTATTTAGGGAAGCAAAAGGCCTATACTCTGAAAACTGTGACAATGATGAAAGAAACTGAAGATGACACAAACAGATGGAAAGATACACCATGCTCTTGGATTGGAAGATTTAATATTGTTAAAATGATCATATTATCCAAGGCAATGTAAAGAGTCAATGCAATCCCTGTCAAATTACAAATGGTGTTTTTCACAGAAGTGGAACAAAAATTTTTAGTATTTGTATGGAAACACAAAAGACTCCAAATAGCCAAAGCAATCCTGAGAAAGAATGGAGCTGGAGGAATCATGCTCCCTGGCTTGACTGTACTATGAAGCTACAGTAAGCAAAACATTATGGTACTGGCACAAGGACACATAAATCAATGGAACAGGATAGAGAGCCCAGGAATGAACCCACATACTTATGTTCAATTAGTCTTTGACAAAGGAGGCAAAACTATACAATGGAGAAAAGATACTCTCTTCAGTAAGTGATGCTGGGAAAACTCTACAACTACATGTTAAAAAAAATGAAATTAGAACATTCTCTACTATCAAATACAAAACTAAACTCAAAATAGATTAAAGACCTAAATGTAAGACCAGGTGTTATAAAACTCCTAGAGGAAAACATAAGCAGAACACACTTTGACATAAATCAAAGAAACATTTTTTTCAATTCATGTCCTAGAGTTATGGAAATAAAAACAAACATAAGCAAATGAGATCTAATTAAAGTTAAAAGCATTTGTACAACAAAAGAAATCACAAAAAAATGGGAAAAAAAACCCTACAGAATGGGAGATAATATTTGCAAATGATGTTACTGACAAGGGATTAATTTCCAAAATATACAAACAGCTCATACAACTCAATATCAAAAAAACCCAAACAACCCAATCAAAAGAAATGGGCAGAAGACCTAAATAGACATTTCTACAAACATACTAATGGCCAACAGGCACAAGAAAAGAAGCTCAATATCACTAATTATTAGAGAAATGCAAATCAGAACTACAATGATGTACCACCTCACACTGGTCAGAATGGCCATCATTAAAAAGTCTACAAATAATAAATCCTGGAAAGGGTGTGGAAAAAGAACCCTCCTACACTGTTGGTAGGAATATCAATTGATACAGCCACTATGGAGAACTATATGGACGTTCCTTTAAAAACTGAAAATAGAGTCACCATATATAATGCAGCAACTGCACTCTTGGGCATGTATCTGGAAAAAACTCTTAAC